AGTGAATGAAAACATCACAAAAGCTCCCAGGTAATGGAATTTTTAAATTGGATAGCAGCCTTATTATCGTAATTATGTGATGACACGGTCGTTGTAATGGTCTCAATTGTCAACACTTGGTAATTAGCATTGCCTTTCACTTTCTCTACTATAGGAGAGAGGTTTATTGGTGGTGATAATCGAGCCGAGACCTTGCTTCAACAATAGGTCTACACTGATTAAAACAGGTATGTCTATCTAAGGTGCTGAAAAGCTATCATTTACCAGCATCTCGTAATAACAGTCTTCACAAACACTAAATTCTCAGTCTTGACATAATTTCAGCAATTAAAATGAAGTGTTATATCCAACATTTGTAAGATTAACCGTAATCAACATTTCTTGAGTCGACTTTTAATTAACAAAAAATTGTACACTAATTTATTGGAAATTTTGTTATTTGAATTTTACAAATGTATTAAGAGGAAATCTTCCATCAGATATATGTTTTGTGCAATAAATTTTAGAGTCTGTTAAACACATTATCATGAAAACATCTCCAGCCATGATAAATTTATCCTTTGTGAAAATTACATTACCCGGTACTTATGACGTCAATACACTGTTACAGGCAGTTACATAAAGAAATGTAACGTATCTCTACCAAAAATAAACAGAGTTTACATCCTCCACAGATGTCAACAGAATTTTATTGGCTAAATAGTTTTGCATTAAATTACACACAAATCTGTTGTATTTTATTTTTTAATCTGTAGTAATCTTATCTATAAAGAGGGTTTGTATGCCTTCTGAAAAACAAGTATAACCATGTACTCTCCTAAATCTAAATCCACCATATACTGCTGCTTTTAAACATGTATAACCATGTACTCTCCTAAATCTAAATCCACCATATACTGCTGCTTTTAAACATGTATAACCATGTACTCTCCTAAATCTAAATCCACCATATACTGCTGCTTTTAAACATGTATAACCATGTACTCTCCTAAATCTAAAACCATCATATACTGCTGCTTTTAAACATGTATAACCATGTATTGGTTCCACTAAGTACCACCATGGTGTCCTAACAGATGGCAGTAGTAGCGGTGTATTAATGACAGGAAATTGCTGGATCAATCTCCATCCCATAATATCTACATGGTAGTTACTGAATTCACATTATGTGAAGTAATGCTATTTATAGCGATGCATTACTTGTTCTCACCAAATCAGGATGGCATCCCATACACTACCATCATGTACATAAAAATCAATTCATATTTGTGATTCCTCTGGGCCAATACATTAAACATCCATTTATTATCAACATCTCCTACAAATCATTTACTAATTTTGCTTGACTTTGATTTTTAACCATGTGTTACAGTCCGTATGGATTATAGATGACAATTTAACAATAGCAACATCCTGACATGTATCTCCCTCCATTTTCTGTCAGATCTGTACGTGAAATTGAAGACGTACATCAGGGACAAAAGCCAAACACTTATATTGATGATTTTAAATCGTTTGCCTATGAATTAGTTTCGCCCTGAACAGCTTACATATGTGCCCAGAGTTTAGGACCTCTCTGTTTTATTACATCAGTGTGCGACAGTTGGAAAAATCTGAACGATAAAGAGCTCTCTGCCAGCTTGTGTTGTACTTCATATACATGTTACTTGGACACAATGTCAAAAAAAACCTGATCAAAAAAAATTTCTGGTTCTTTTTTTTAATATCTGATTTTCTGCCAGTTTTATCTTTATGATTTAGGACAATTCACAGTTAGGTCCTATTCTAATGAGAAATCTGTTATTTCTAATTTATTTTAAGAAAAATCCTAGACCTATGAAGTAAAACATGTTGACGAGTTAATGATTTCTCACATCACTAATTCGATTATTTTATCATAGTGCGAACACGAGTTTTGTGGCTGTATGAAAACATGGCCAAATCAGTGTTAATCTAATAAATCTCAAATTTCATAACAGTAACCACCGTGTTTTATGGTGTTTTATGGTTCGCTGGTCCTTGCTTGGGAAGTTGGGTATGAAACAAGCCATTAGAAAGTCACATGTGCATGCTACAGACTTCTGTACTAAGTCTGGACAGCTTGCATTTTAAATTCTCTAAACATTCATTTGAATGTCAAAAAGTTCAAAGTTATTTAAATCAAAATACATCTTTTCTATGCTTAAACATCAATTAAATTAACGCCAATGTTTACTTGACATGATTTTTCATTAACTTGATATATCACTTTTCACAGTAAAATAAAAAAGATTTTACTGTTAAAATTTTCCTATCATGTTTTCATATTTTGCTCATTTTTTGCAATGAAAGGATTATTTCTCCCAGAAAACATTTCAAATTTCAATAACGACGATTTGAGTCGAAATAATTTGATGAAATGGTAGTAAACTGCATTTACTATACTATACTGACCTTGGTCAATCTGAATTTAATCATTACATTGTTTTATGTTATTTATTTGACAATCTTTGTCTTCGCTGTAACGCTATTCATCAGTAGAGTGATGATGATTGAGCTCTCATTTCAGATCTAGACAGAGCAGCAAATTCAAACTTGCTTTGATGAAAGGTGTGAAAAGATGTCATCATTAAAATATTGTTTTGTTTCTTGATGAATAATTGCATACTCGTAAAAATATCAAATTTTCCATCCAACTTGATGAAATATAGCTGTTTGTCACGAAACAATGCGCATCCTCTGTGCATTAATGGAAAAGGGTGGTATTTTTATTTAATTTTTCAATAAATCATTGCAGATTTTGTCAGACATCTTATAACGACATTTTTTTCTGATGGTCATGTTTTGCTGTAGGTTTCATAAAAGAATCATTTTCCCGAAAATTCTCAGAAAGTTCTCCTAACCTTGTGTCATAAATAGTATATCTAAGGCTCTGCCACAAAGCATACAACCTTCCCATCAGCCCAGCTGATTTCTGCGAGTCTGGAAATATAATCTTCACCTAACTGGAGCCTGGCTTTTTAAACAGAAGTGCTAATAGAGGAAACCCTGTTTTTCCAGTTTCTGACAATATTGCAAATTTGGGAGGCCACTAAGGGATTTGTGTATGTAAATGACCAAGCGTATTGATCTACACAACCAGCCAATATCACTAGAAAATACTCACAGTAAAACTGGACTTTCTGTATGTTATTAAACAAATATATTCTTATATGTGCTAGTGTAAAAGGACCCAGTTTACCATGAATAGGGTTCAATCATCATATTTGCTCAGGGAACAATTGAAAAGAGTGGAGTGTTTGGGACAACAAACACCATGTATGGAGTCCATTCTTACTGCTGTGGTAGCACATGTGTACAGTGTTTGAATCCCAAAAACTTCCCAAGGGCTCTTTAAAGGGATATTGACCTCCTATAACTAAGACTGTAGGAGACAAAGATGTCAGTCATATCTAAACTTAATCTGATATCCACATGCAATCCAAATTTAGAAATATATCCCACACTTCTACTCAATCATACACACCCATTTTTTTTTGACAGGTTTAATTTTATAAAAAAAAAAAATCAAAGGAAAATAGCATTATCTTGCCTGAAATAGATGTGCAAATAAACATCCGATTATTTCTAACGAGTGATAAAAATCAAAGCCCTATCCCTCCCCCTACGTGACAAAGTTGATGATTCATCACAATCTAACGAGATAAAAACAGAATATTTCTGATTCAAGGACTTGCCTTTCAGTACCTGGTGAAATTGTCAAATTTATTCCAATCAAAGTGTGAATAGTTTAGGGCTATAAAGAGGTGTCCCACTGTGTTCCATCCACGGTGGGAATCTCGCAGTAAAACCTCAAGTAGAGGAGCTATTCAAAACATTTCATTGTGATATTGAGGCTACCCACCTAAGCTATTAACTGAATGTGTGAACTTTCATTTACAAAAACACTGTAGATATGACGAAAGGCTTTTATCCTGAAGCATGTTTAGTTCTACCCTTGGTTTCTATGTGTTCTAGCTATCAGATCCTACTGCAGCTCAGGGCTCTATGTACATTTTTAACAGATAAGTGTGCACGCCTCATCATTCCTCCAGCACCAAGTATGCACTGCTATACCCAACCTTCCTCCCCAGTGATAACTTTATGGAATAAATCCCAAACTGAGTCGATTCAAAGGACTACAGAGATGAATTTGGCTAGTGACTGATGCTCTTCATTTTAGGATTGATTTTTTTTGTGAATTCTTTCCACTGAAGTGCAGAGTCTCTACGGTTTACGACATATATAACCGACATATATAACCTTCCTTTTATGCAAGAATTGATAGGCAATGTAATCTCTCCTGTTTTTAATGTAACACCTTATTCGATAGTATTGACTGATGAAAAGAACTACTACTCCAGAAAGTGAGATGTAAAACTGATCATTTCGAGGACAAAACAAGTTCAGTTCTAGAAACAATTTGTTTATCCCTCCAATAACTTACAAAGACAATTAATGAATGAAAATGAAATTCAATTTTTGTCTAATATTTCATCAAATTTTACAGATACTAATTGTCTTTTTTTTTCATTGATGTATTTTTCAGAATCAATCAAAAATTCAGATTTCGCTCCAAGAGAAATGTCCAACAGATCAGTGAAGATGTCATTTTATCCTGAATGACTAGTGAGGTGAAAGACACAGGTAAATCTAATCTGTACACACATACACACCACTATCAGCACTTCATCAAGGCACTATCTATAGGTACACGACCAATGAATTATTGAATATCATTTCATTTAACCTGCATAGTGTTAGAATCCCAGTATCTAGGGTTCACTAATCTCACATTCTACACACACCTCACACATTCATCAAAGAAAGCCCAGCAATCTCCCAACAAATACAATCTGTTCCAAAAATAACTCAAGGGTCAAGAGAGAAAGCATGCATTTAAAAAAAGATGGTTGTCTGATACATTGTGGAGGTCACACAGTCGATTAAACAAGACAATGAAATTGAAAAGGAACACTAACCTTTGGTTGGGCCTTTCTTGGGAAGGCTACCTTGGGGTCCACCTGTGGATAAAGGTACCAAAGAGCATCCATTTTAGGTTAGGTATATGTAACACAACAGACTGCCAAACGCCTGTACTGGTCAAGGTAGAGTGGACGAATAAATGACAAGTATTTTGTGTACTGGCCGGTGTGACACACAGGACAATAAAGATGGTCAGATATTATGCTGTGTGATGTCTTGCGTGTCACTCTCTGTCGTTTCTTGGCCGGAGCTGGACAGTTTGACCACGGGGCGGCAGATGTAATGTGCCTGTTCTAAGGTGTAAAGGGAACAAGTATGGTGTAGTCCCAGTATAGTCCTGAATCTACTACAAGTTAATACTGTGGGATTGCTGTGCACCTAGTCCTTAAGTTGAGTCCAAGCAACAGTCTTTAATTACTTTCCATCTCAAAAGCTCTAGGAACTGACTGACAACCAATTAGGTCGAGCGTTTTTAGTGTACCATTGTCGACGTCATGGTCTGCCCTGACAATAGCCAGACCCTCACTAAATGTATTCGATTCTTTCCCCGATCGTTATTCCAAACAATAGAGCACGTGTGATGTAACGGCGTTCTTTCCCATCCAGTTAAAATATAAGTAAACATTAGACGGGTTGATCGAACCAACTTCTTTCTTCCTGACAAACACACAGCATTCAGCAGTCCTGATCCATACCTTCTGTGCTATACAAACACCTTCGGCTATGACATTGGGGCTGATTTCAATGGAACATTTACACAGTAGAGGTCCAACTTTTGAAAAGAAGTTTTGTTATACCAGAAAAAATATAACAGACCTGTTCAATAAGACTCTAACACAGTAGTGAAAACCAATTACAGTCTTGAATGCTAACATTGAAATAGCTATTCAGTCCTGTTTTGGAAATCTTGAAATATAACTGTGGATAGTTCACTGTCAAAATCAGTCCAGTCCTCGGGGTATTTACCTATGTAGGCAGGTAAAAGCTCTGTGTACAAACTTGGACAAATAATGTTTTCCTTTGTGCTAATTTTAAATGCAATTTACCAACAATAAAGCTTTCTATGCTTTTCTGGGTTTTCATCAATTTGTTCATTTTTTTCACATTTTTATTAAACATAATTGATAGGCATATTAATTAAAAGTTATGAATATTCATCAGTTTTCTACCTTGACCAATGACAGACTCTGGCAGTAAATGTACGATATATAAATATGACTATAGGACATTCACAAGACAGAGGAAGATGGGCCACAGTTGGGCCACAACACCAACACATTACACACAGAGGTAGGGACAGTGTAGTCATGTCTCTCAAATTTATCTAAATTCAATAAAATGCTTTTGTACTTCAAGTGATTTAATTTTTTATCAATAAGCAGCTTCTGTATAAAGCATGAATAGTTATATAGTGTTACATAATCCCAATCTGATACATTAACATGAAAAAGCAGCGACACCCTGGGAAAATTCTCCTCTCACCTTGATGGTAACATTTTAAGAGTTTCTGGTACATTGCAGGTAACACATTTCAATAGGCTCTGGCACCCTCTAACTTTAAACCTATCCATCCTTTTGATAGTATGCTAATTCAGCCCTGAGGGGGTCACAGCGGCCACTGAAAGGCTCTATCCAGGCCTTGTGTACCAGCATACTGATAAACTAGCAGTGCAGTATAAAAAACAGGAAACATACCCCTACTTAATGGAGACTTTTCACTTTTAATTTCCCGAGATATAAATAAGTGGTGTCAGATTGCTTCCATTTCTTATCTGACCAAGCATTATGACTGGTTTTCTAACACTGTAATCAAAATTACTTTTAAATTTGAAAAACATGACACACAGGTAAAACATACAGATATGGAGAGGTAAAACTAACCTGACAAAATTGTTCAAACTTTTTATAAAAGACACCATTATACCTTGTTTAAATCATACATAATGTTTATGACTTTATGATAAACAACGGGTAAAAAAAAATCACAAATATGTATAATTTCCCAAATAATGGACAGGACTTAAATATTTCCTTTATGTTTGTTTTATTTATTATAAAATGATATATGACCAGAGGTAGTAATATCTGACAAGGTGATTAATTACAAGTGATTAATGGGTGTATAGCTATGATAAATCTGGGTCATTAGATAGACAAATTACCATAAATACAACTACGGATAATTAGATGTAATGAGCAATGATGGAAAAGAAATGGTTAATATCAATAAATGTTAATATTACCGTTTTTGAATCCAGTTCGTGAGGCCCATTAGCCAGCACTTTCTCTACAGCTGCAGATTCTCTAAATGTGACAAAACCAAAGCCCCTGAAACCAAAAACATTTAATCAAGATTTCGCTAAAATTCCCAGTCCTTGGTCTTCCTCTTAACTTCTAGTCGAGACCTAGTTTATATCAGTTCTGGTACCGGATCCTAGCTTTGAACACTTCAATTACGTCTTGACTTTTTTTTCTCTTCAATATTAAACAATGAAATTTCCCTAAGATGATTTAAATTTTTAAACATTTCAAATTCTTCCTATTTTTTCTGCTTTAGACATCTTTCTTTTAATCTTGAATATTCGATTCATTGTATAAATGGTTTTTATGTGCCGACATGTGTTTTTTGGAATCACCATGTTTTATATACAGGTACCACTTTTAATAGACTAGGTTGCTCGACATCAAAGTTACCACATATATACATAATGCTTGTTGCAGTCTAAAAAAAGACTTAATGAATCTGTTCCTCCTACATACCAGTGCTATATACAATCCAACTATATATATATATCCATCAATATCAAACAAGAAAGAAAAACGATAAAAATCCAAATACCAAAGACAAAAACTACCGCAACCAGAGAAAGAATTACATGTTAGTAAAACTAATGTACAACATAAATTGTTTTTCTCGTATCAGCAGATTTTCACCAGGAGTCTGTGCCGGGAGAGGTGATTAAATAGTCTCTCGTTCTAATCCTTTTAAAACAGTTACATTTGCAGATGTCTGTTTATCAACATAGGAGGATGATAGGCAAAGCCTATCCCCTGTCATTTTAAAACCTAACATTACTTAATAGGAATTCAGCTGGAAAATTAAACGTTACAATTTATGGAGTCAATTTAATGGCAGCCAGGAAGGAGCTGTGGGCCGTGTATTTGGAAGTATCTGGTAAGGCTGTGTGTGTGTGTGAACAGAGTTCCTCAGCTCTCTACAATGTAGCACTAATTATATCTCTTCCTTGGGTAATAGAATTCATCTTCAGAGCTAATTAAATTAACCAATTAAAATATGTAAGCCCAGATAAATCTTGTGTACTCCTTGTGTAAGGAATAACACCCTGCATACTTATACACAAAATAATGTCGACATCTACACTGGTGAGCTATTCAATGAGGAATCCTTCTTCACATTGTTTACATTCAAATTTACAACTAGGGTTATGTAGGTCACCTATTGGGTGTATTAGCAGTGTAAGGCTGGGAGGCTGGGAATGGAGACAGATGCCTCAGCTAGCTACCACTGTAATTATATACAACATGGCATTTATATCTGCAAGCTTATGCCTCAGACAGGGGACAAAACAGATTTAGGAAACATCACTGATAAAACATCTACATAAAATAGTGCGTGGAGCTTTGCCAAAATTAATTAGGATTCCTGATAAAAACTGTACTCGTCTCTAATTGGTTTTGTTTTAATTACTGATGACGTGAATTATTAAAATCTGTCTATACATTGCAAACGGTGTCTACAGGAAGCTTGTGTCAGGAACATTATAAATAACTATCAAAGACTGTTGGTGCTTTATCAGGGGCAGATCAACTGATGAATGCGTACAGGTTTACTGTAAGGCCAGGCAGAAATCATATTCTACAACATGTAAACGGCTGACGGCCGTAAGACGTTATAGGAACTATGTACCGGGCCTTTGATCTTCCAAGTGTAGTACAATGAAGAACACGGATCCTAATTGGAAAAAAATACCTTTGTGCGCACATACGATAAATGTGTGCATGTTACTGGCGGCATATTCCCAATACTCCAATATCATAACTGAGGAAAATCACAAATAAAATATTGCACATATCCATCATTTTCTATACATAGGCATGATAACACTGAATCAACCAAGACGCAGTCAGCCGGAACTGGTTTGTAAACATTGGCGTACCTGGATCGTTTTGTTGTCGGGTCCTTCATCACCATTGCCTCCTTGATCTCCCCATACTTTCCGAAATGTTCCTTTAAAGAATCTGTAATAAACATAACAATATCTTTTATTCATTTTGATTTTGGTTGCGATATTTCTGGAATTGACAATAGAACGAACGCGACGACACCAGAGGGAACACACACAACGAAGACAATAACATCACGGTCACTCATTCGTGACAGCTAACGGCAAGACTCTTCAGTCGACACAAATCAATTCAAAATCAAGATCGCTTAAGTTATGATCAAAATCTATATAAATTTTCTACTTACCCCCAGTTGTCTGCCAGCTGAGGCCACCGATGAACATTTTCCTGTCAATATGAAGAGAGTTCATTATTACGGTTCTCGTCGGTGACCTATTTTTAGCCACCGGAGAAGAAAACGAACATATAGCCTCACAAACGATAGATAACCATCTGATTTCCGTTCGATCTGATCGTAATATTAATTGAAACTTACCCGGGATCATTAGGTATATCCTCGGTACCATTGCTAGTAGTGTTTGAAACCTGGAGGTCCATCTTCATATTTCTAAAAGTCTAATGCTAACTACTAACACTACACCGTATACTGGAGAACTGCACGTGGGGAAGATCTGAATGTTCACTACTCTACAACCATTCGGCTATTGTGGGTGGAGATTTCGCGCGTCTCACAAGGCGCCAATTGTCAGTGATTGACAGATATCTGCTGTCAATTGATTGGTCGAAGCCAAGTCGCTAGGCAACTGTGATCAGTTTATATTGACGTCACCGTGCCTGGCAGGGTGAATACCACGCCTCTCTCTAACATAAACATCAGGAAAACAAACCCGCCTATACTGATAAGTAGGTCCCTTCAGAAGATTCCCACTATGAATGAATTAATGAAGCGGCAAGGCGTTCAGCAAATCTATATTGGGTTTTATATTCATTATGCTATTGATCGCTTCCAACTTTTCAATTTCTCCATTAAGCTGTGAATCAGGAGGTTCCTAAAGGTCACATTCTACATAAAATATCAATCTATTTTCATTTATTGAAGAAGAATTCGTTTTCATAACGTAAACACTATTGCCTGACCATAGTTAAAGCAGTACGTGTAATTAGGTTGGTAGATGTTCACGTCACTGTTCTGACTTGTTATGTGCGGTTTGCGGGAATGGAGCCGAAGTAACTATTTCACTTTAACACATGCTATTTATCTTTTCGTCATAGCGCGCACTTGCTTGGCAGTGACAGGTTCGCGAAAAGGCTAAAATAGATAAGAAAATATCATCTGGGCAGCTAGGAAACGAACGGCAGATTAACGCCATATAGCACAGTATACGATTGCCTTGTAAATAAACTAGTCAAGCCGATTTTCAGAAATCTTATATTATCTTCTCCTTTCAAACTTTCTGTCTGTACAAGATAGGGTACTTGAAAAATGTAGGTCTGTGATTTAGCATATTTATTGACTTATCAATCCTGGAGCACCTGTTGATAAGGCAGGTTTTTATAGATCGATGAAAACATTTCTGAAGTCACTTGACTTATAAGGCTTTAGAAATGCAGACCAATTTGATGCACACATAAATGTAGTTGAACGATGTTCGTATTTGAGAATGTTTCTCAAGAAAATACCACGCGGTCCTGGTGGTATATTCACCTTTATGTTTGACCCATTTCGTATTGAAAAATACGAAGGACATTTTTTTTTTTCAGCTGAAAAGAATATTTGGAATTATCGTCTAAGGTTTTAAATATTGGATATGAATGGAATTTCATTAATTTCTCACTTTAATCCCGACTCTATGTAAACGTTTTCCTTGCATATGAATATGTACGCTACAACAGACACGATCCTCTTTCATATGTTGTATTCATATAAGAACTGTGTTATTGTTTGTATTAGAATGTATGTAAATATCAATGTTGAAAATAATAATTTGTATAATACAGTAGGCAAAATCGTTAAAAAAGTTTGTTGAATTTGAAACGAATCCGTTTCAAGGCTCTCTCTCTCTCTCTCTCTCTCTATAAATATATATATGTCAAGATAATATCAACAGAGATGTTTAGCCGAGAACAATGCTGTTTCAATTTGTGAGTGTATACTGAGTGACTGTAAGTTGAAATTATGATGCCGTTTGACGAACTTTACCACTGATATATAACTAAATAACACACGGTGGCGGAATCACAGTGAGAGGTGTTTTATTCTGTAAGGCGATTTTATAAAATAGATGTTTTATATAACGGGACGTTTTATACCATAAGATACTCCATACCGTGAAATATTATACATCATAAGACGATTGACACCGTGGGATATTTCATTCGTAAAAACCTTTTTCTCATCGTAATATTATATTTAAATTGTTAGACGCTTAACACCATGGAACTCTTGACGATTCAAGATGTTTTATAGCGTAAAGCCTCGTGATACTTTTAGAATATGAACATTTCAACATTGTTATATACGCTTAATACATCAATTTTTACACGGTGAGATATTTTAATATTAATTGTATATTACATGTAGATCCCAGACAAGTAAGAATGTCGCACAAACATGTTATTGAGACACACGTGACCGAGTAAGTCACCAGGAGTAATATTATATAAATGATAACACATATTTATTTGATATCATACAGGACGTTATTCCTCTTTTTAACTTTAATATGTTTCAGTTTTGTTCAGTGACCGTGACGAATGATAAAATCAGTTATTTAGAAATGTTTATTCTATTTTAACACGAGATCCCAAGTCCATTAATTTGTAAGTTTATTAATATTGATCGCGTTTATGATATATTGAACTTAAATCATGCGAAGTTATTATCTTCTAAGCACCTGTGAGTTCTTACATCATAGCCAAAAGTAAATAACTCAACATCAAATTATTTTTCTCATTTATTATAAAAAAACAAACATCGAAAATTAAAATTCCATTGCAAAAAACCACCATTTCCGACAGAACTCCGTGTATCTCAACCAACCGTAAAATCACCACTAAAAACCATAATTCATTTAGTTTAACATTCTGTTTCCGACATGATATAAAGACGTTTGTGTGTATCTATAATTGTTTATAGAAGTTTGTGTGTCTCCGGTATTGTATAAAGACGTTTGTGTCTCTGCTATTGTATAAAGACGTTTGTGTGTCTCTGCTATTGTATAAAGACGTTTGTGTGTATCTATAATTGTTTATAGAAGTTTGTGTGTCTCTGCTATTGTATAGAGACGTTTGTGTGTCTCTGCTATTGTATAAAGACATTTGTGTGTCTCTGCTATTGTATAAAGACGTTTGTGTGTATCTATAATTGTTTATAGAGGTTTGTGTGTCTCCGTTATTGTATAAAGACGCTTGTGTGTCTCTGCTATTGTATAAAGACGTTTGTGTGTATCTATAATTGTTTATAGAAGTTTGTGTGTCTCCATTAAAGACGTTGTGTGTCTCTGCTAAAAAGATGTTTGTGTGTCTATAATTGTTTATAGAAGTTTGTGTGTCTCTGCTATTGTATAAAGATGTTTGTGTGTATCTATAATTGTTTATAGAAGTTTGTGTGTCTCTGCTAGTGTATAAAGAAGTTTGTGTGTCTCTGCTATTGTATAAAAAAGTTTGTGTGTCTCTGTTATTGTATAAAGAAGTTTGTGTGTCTCTGCTATTGTTTATAGAAGTTTCTGCTATTGTATAGAGACGTTTGTGTGTCTCTACTATTGTATAAAGACGTTTGTGTGTCTCTGCTATTGTATAAAGATGTTTGTGTGTCTCTGCTATTGTTTATAGAAGTTTGCGTGTCTCTGCTTTTGTATAAAGATGTTTGCGTGTCTCTGCTATTGTATAGAGACGTTTGTGGTCATTTGTGTGTTTGTGTGTATCTATAATTGTTTATAGAAGTTTGTATGTCTCTGCTATTGTATAAAAAAGTGTGTATGTCTCTGCTATTGTATAAAGACGTTTGTGTGTCTCTGCTATTGTATCAAGACGTTTGTGTGTATCTATAATTGTTTATAGAAGTTTGTGTACTCTACTATTGTATAAAGACGCTTGTATGTCTCTGCTATTGTATAAAGACGTTTGTGTGTATCTATAAGTGTTTATAGAAGTTTGTGTGCCTCTGCTATTGTATAAAGAGGTTTGTGTGTCTCTGCTAATGTTTATAAAAGTTTGCGTGTCTCTGCTTTTGTATAAAGACGTTTGCGTGTCTCTGCTATTGTATAAAGACGTTTGTGTGTCTCTGCTGTTGTATTAAGACGTTTGTGTGTATCTATAAGTGTTTATAGACGTTTGCGTGTCTCTGCTATTGTATAAAGGCATTTGTGTGTATCTATAATTGTTTATAGAAGTTTATGTGTCTCTGCTATTGTATAAAGACGTTTGCGTGTCTGCTATTGTATAAAGGCATTTGTGTGTATCTATAATTGTTTATAGAAGTTTATTTGTCTCTGCTATTGTATAAAGACGTTTGCGTGTCTGCTATTGTATAAAGACGTTTGCGTGTGTCTGCTATTGTATAAAGGCATTTGTGTGTATCTATAATTGTTTATAGAAGTTTATGTGTCTCTGCTATTGTATAAAGAAGTTTGCGTGTCTGCTATTGTATAAAGAAGTGTGTATGTCTCTGTTATTGTATAAAGACGTTTGTGTGTCTCCACTATTGTATAAAGGAGTGTATGGGTCACTACCACTGTGTACAGAGGTTTGTATATCTCTATCATAGTGTACAGAGGTTTGTATATCTCTATCATAGTGTACAGAGGTTTGTATATCTCTATCATAGTGTACAGAGGTTTGTATATCTCTATCATAGTGTACAGAGGTTTGTATGTCTCTATCATAGTGTACTGAGGTTTGTATGTCTCTATCATTGTGTACAGAGGTTTGTATGTCTCTATTATTGTGTACAGAGGTTTGTATATCTCTATCATAGTGTACAGAGGTTTGTATATCTCTATCATAGTGTACAGAGGTTTGTATGTCTCTATCACTGTGTACAGAGGTTTGTATATCTCTATCATAGTGTACAGAGGTTTGTATATCTCTATCACTACAGATGTTTGTATGTCTCTATCATTGTGTACAGAGGTTTGTATGTCTCTATCATTGTGTACAGAGGTTTGTATATCTCTATCACTGTGTACAGAGGTTTGTATATCTCTATCATAGTGTACAGAGGTTTGTATATCTCTATCATAGTGTACAGAGGTTTGTATATCTCTATCACTGTGTACAGAGGTTTGTATATCTCTATCACTACAGATGTTTGTATGTCTCTATCATAGTGTACAGAGGTTTGTATATCTCTATCACTGTGTACAGATGTTTGTATGTCTCTATCATTGTGTACAGAGGTTTGTATGTCTCTATCATTGTGTACAGAGGTTTGTATATCTCTATCATTGTGTACAGAGGTTTGTATGTCTCTATCATTGTGTACAGAGGTTTGTATATCTCTATCATTGTGTACAGGGGTTTGTATGTCTCTATCATTGTGTACAGAGGTTTGTATGTCTCTATCATTGTGTACAGAGGTTTGTATATCTCTATCATTGTGTACAGAGGTTTGTATGTCTCTATCATAGTGTACTGAGGTTTGTATATCTCTATCA